GCCGCAGGTGCCTCCCGGGCTGTAAATTTGTCCCCTGATTTATCTCCCCGGGGACGAAATAAATCCCGCTGGATGGGAGTTTAGTTAGGCAAAGGTTTTAATGGGAAATCAGGAAAAAATACGAGAACATATTTTATCGCCCGAAAGAATGTAGATTTGAGGATCCACTCAGCACACTCCGTGGACCCCGTTCAGTGAAGAGCCACAGGCGGGAGGGCACGGGGAGCCCGCAGGCATTCGGGGTCACGGCCCGCGCCCCCCGCCCCCGGCTGCTTCCCTCTGCCCCGGGCTCAGGTTTGGGGGGAGGGCCAAAAACATTTCCGTAAACATTCTCCTCCGGAATACAGAAGACGGAGGAAGCCGGACCTCAGAGTCCACGGGCCGAATGCCAGACATGGCCCACGAGAAGCTTTCACCAATCAACTAGTTTGCTCGGTGGCGAGGCCTGTCCGAGGGTCACAGGCGAGGCCGCCGACCCCCGGGCACTGCCAGGACAGCCGTTAGTTCCCAGTCCCCTCCCCCCGGGCCCGCGGAGCTGAAACCTTCCGGGCCTCTGGGTTGGGTGTTTCCCGGTCGCGAAGTCGGGGCTTGTTCCCGGGAGGCAACCTGAGCCCAGAGCTTCGACCTGGGCGCCGATTTAGCCCGCAGCCTTCCCCGCGTGAAGCACAGCCCCAGCTGGCAGAACGGGCGCCGTGGCAGGCTCCGAGTCCCGATCCCAAGGCATACGGGGCCACATTCGGGGCCTTGGATGCAGCGGGCAGGAGCGCGGACTTCTGACAAGCATGCAGGGCCCACAGTGTCCTCCTCTCGGTACGAAGAGCCTCCCACACCGCAGAATTGCTGTGGAGGGTTCAAATAAGATGGTAGTGGGCTGCGCGCGCTGGCGGAGAGCAGGCGCTGAGTACAATTCCGGACCTTGCTTCCTCGTCACGTATTAATTACTGAGTGATGACTAATATTATTACTCGCTGCCTTTTGGGAACGTGCGGGAACCCATGGCCGCCGTTTTGTGGCTTGGGGGCGGCGTGTGCCAAGCCGGCCTCTGTCAGGCCTGGTGCGGTGCGCTGTCCGTTAGCAACGACTTTCCCGTTTCACTTCGGCTGCCAGGGTTTCAGTGGCGAGGTAGAAGGCCACCTTCTTGGCTCTGTGCTGGGACCGAACGCCCGCTCGCGCTGAGACCCTCGGGGGTCCGTTTTCGTTTTGTGCAGTTAGCTGTGGAGTCTTAGTACCCAGACTCCCTAAGCCAGCTCGCGGCTTGGAAAGCCACTGACCACCGGGGCTGGGCGGCCGTTCGGTGGCCTCCTCTGGCCGTGTGAGCG